GTCTGAACAAATTAGTTTTAAGTGTTGAAAATAAACTTCAGATAGAGTTTAGCGTTTTTTCGAAAATCGGCCGTTTTTTTCCATTGTTCGACCCTTCTAGCTTTAACCCGAAAAAAACTTCAAGAAAAATTAAAACTCACATATTCTTAATCAGCTGAATGAGTTTTACCTAACCATGTGTAAAAAAGTTAAAAATCAATTCTACTATAATTTTGATTTACCGGCACGTTGTAAGCGCGTTGTCAATTCGCTGTCCTCTCAATTTGACTTGGAAGTCAGCACGACCACAAAAATGAAGTTGATCGTTCTGATCGAGTCTAGCGAGATCTCCTGTTTTGTAACATCGTTGTCCTCGTATATCAATTAAAGCCTTCTTTGACAAGTCATCACGACCATAGTAACCGGAGAATACACCAGCACCGCCAATATACAGCTCATCTAGCTGATTAATGCCAACTAATTGCAAATATTCATCGAGAACGTAGCACTGATAATTTGGCATAGGTCGTCCTATCGGAATCGATTGCATATACGATTGGTTCATCGAGTTAAATTGCCAATAAAGCAGAAAGCTAGAGCAGGTTTTATTTTTCATATATTTATTTATGGCTGGATAGCGCTCGATGAGCTGATCACGAACATCTGGTTTCTGATTTTTTTCGACAAAGTCTTAACTGAGAAAAATTGAGAAAACTTGGAAGATATAAAATTTGAAAAACGGCTGCATTTTGGAAAAAACTGATATTTCTCGGCTCCACTTTTCTTTGACACTCCACAATGGCTTCTTTCCGATTCAGCATTCCAAACTGAGACTAGGAAAATAGCATCTTAGTTTTTGGCGCAAAAAACGATCTTAGTGCTGATTCAAGGAGAACAGGTTCCAAGGAGTTCCCGGGCGAGTTCCTAAACTTATCTGTTTTTTTCAGCTAACACTTGAAGCCAAGTTTTGTATGTCATTCGTATAATGATTACATGTTCTACAAAAGTACCCACTTTGTTTTTGAAGGTTTTAGTTCCTACTACGGATATACCACTTTTTATAAAAACTGGTCGATTTTGCCAAAAAGTGGGGAGCATTTTCTCAATATATCAGCCATTATTGGTCCACGTTTTACGAAAAATGTGATTGCTAGGTAAAAAATAATGCAGAAAGCTCATCGAGCGCTATCCAGCCATGTATAAATAAATAAAAAATAAAACCTGCTATGAAAAAATGTGAGTTTTGTTTTTTTGAAAGTTTCTTTATACGAGAACATTTGGAAAGGCTGAAATTCAATGAAAACTGCTCATTTTTGGAAAAATATCGAACGTATCACCTTTTCTCCCTTATACTTCTCGAAACTAGTTTTTTCTTATCCATCATGTCGAATTAAATCTAAAAGTCGAGCTTCGACGCTATCTGAATATAATATGAGCATAAGATTCCGATCGTTTAACTAACAGACCAGTTCAGACGAATTATCAGTTGGAAATTTCGAACATTGTGGATCAGTTTTGGCCCGTTTGTGAAAGGAATGATATTCTATCCTGCTGCGTACAGCTTAGCGGGTAATCCTGATAAAAACTCTTTCGTCGTGTAGAAAGGATTTTAGAAAAACAGATGGCGACAAAAGGCAACAGCACGGTGAAGTAAAATATGCATTGAACTCTATTATAGCCTAGCTACGCCGATTAGGCTTCCCTTTAGTCTTCGTCTTTGCTGTCTGAACGTTTACCTATTGAACAAACTGTACACAACGTTTTCATGGAGTCGAATCGCCGACGTAGTGACAAATATTCAATTAATGTTTCAATAACTGTTGGAACAAAAATAGAATACGTTATACATTTCTGTTCAATGGGGGTGGACAAATACGTCGTTTCTAAGTGACCGCCCGGCCGAAGTAGAATCAAAGTTGCGCCGAAGAACAGTGCACCAAATATTTCTTGAACATGAATGTGTTAGGAAGTAGTTAACCTAATCTCATATCAATAGTTGTCATCTTTCAATATACATATTCTTATCGTCACTCGATGGTTATTTTCCCTTTCTGTTCTTCTGATATATGTATTCACTCTCTGCTTTT